AACAACTTAGTTAGGTTTAGGCAACAAAACAACTGAGTTAGGTTTAGACAACAAAACAACTTAGTTAGGGTTAGGCAATAAAACAACTGAGTTAGGTTTCGGCAAAAAAACAACTTAGTTAGGTTTAGGCAATAAAACAACTTAGTTAGGGTTAGGCAATAAAACAACTGAGTTAGGTTTAGGCAACAAAACAACTGAGTTAGGTTTAGGCAATAAAACAACTTAGTTAGGGTTAGGCAATAAAACAACTGATTTAGGGTTAGGCAACAAAACAACTTAGTTAGGTTTAGGAAAAGATTGTCGTTTAGGTTGAAATAACTACGGAAGTGGTGTTGTACTCACTTTTCACATAGCAGTGTTTTTTTTAACTTTTAACAGTCTTTATACTTCCTAGTTAAAGTTTTACGTGGATCACATACGAAGTAGTAGTCGTGGTAGTAGTCGTGGTAGTAGTCGTGGTAGTAGTCGTAGTAGTAGTCGTGGTAGTAGTCGTAGTAGTGGTCGTGGTAGTAGTCGTAGTAGTGGTCGTGGTAGTAGTCGTAGTAGTGGTCGTGGTAGTAGTCGTAGTAGTGGTCGTGGTAGTCGGCCTACTATTACTGACACACTTTTAAGCATAAAAGAAAGATATTTTGCAGATATATACTTAGTTTACTGTTTAATAACTGGGCTTCAGAGAACACTTAGTTTATAACAGTGTTATGACAGTGTGAATTCCATCAGGTTGAATTCAGACTGGATGACTCAGCTTCCTCCTGTACCACAGCTCAACGGGGAAGTGAAGAAATATGAGATTCAGCCACTGTTATGCAAGTCTAAACAACGAGCAAATCTTCTACTGCTGGTGGAATTTTTGTTTACATCAAAAGAACCGCAAAACCCCAAAGGACCTGCTCAAAGACGTGAGAAGATTATGTCATATTAGATCAGAAGGTTCAGCATTTCATATGCAAACTGTGACAGAAGGCTATGTGTACTTTTTTAGTACTTCTCCAAAATGAAACAACTTTTACCCAGTTGTGACTAATGGAAATGTATCATCAATCATTGCAATATTTATTATTATTATTATTATTATTATTATTATTATTATTATAGTCATTACAGTTTAAATACAGGGTCAGTACAGTGGTGGCTTATGCCAGACTTAAACTTTTATTGATTTTTCATCAACTTTTAACATTATACAGCCAGATGTTCTTGCTGGAAAACTTTTTTTAATATGAATCTGATGTTTCGTTTATTATGGTTGGTATAGTATATGAAAGTAAACTCTGTTTACTCTAAAGGGCAGCACTTTTTTTGGAAATACTCCTAGCTTTGCACAAAGGGTGAAAGCAGTGGAAGACAACTTGCCAGGATCTGTCCGAAAGTTACCAAAATCCACCGACCAGCAACTCTAAGCTCATTAATTAACTCATTATATCTCATTTGTTTAATGTTTACAAAAAAGGGTAAAAACGCCAATTTGCTGTTTTACAAGGGCCATAATTAGGCCTAACTCCTCCTATAAAAAGGCAAATTGCTGTTTTTACACTTTGATTTTTGTACGGATTAAACAAACGAGATACGCCGTGTTAATTAGTGAGCTTCAGAGGTGGATTTCTTTAAGCCTAGTCTCTTAAAAATTACGCATTTTCTCCAGGATTAAGTTTTTGACACATCACAAATATGTTTCTAATCACATCTAACCACATAAATCCATGTACAGAGGAAGATGTGGTGGATGGATGGCTCAGACACCCGTGAAAGTTAAACCCGTTGTTCACATCCCGTATGACACCAAGAGTCAACATCATGATCTCTCACAAAACCTAACAAAGTACTTTTGGTTTGCCGAAATGTACAATGCCGTCATTATCTTAACCTCAGGTTGGCGCCATGCTCGCTGTTTCCCCTTTTACCAGTCGTTGTGCTAAGCTAAGCTAACCTTCTACTGGTTTTAGCATTAGCTTCATATATAACTAGCTACCATTTAGATTTGAGAGTGGATTCAATCATCTCATCTAACTCTCCACCTCAAAGAGAACACGCTTATTTCCTAAAATGTCCTGAAACTTGTGCTGTAAATCTTCTACACTGATGATTACCAAAACAACTATCTAATAACGCTATCTGTATTTTACGAAGAATGTATCTCATACTGTATGTATTGCTACGTTTTTTTTCTTGATTCCAACATACGTGTGTCACAATCCCACAGTACACCTGAGCCGTGTGTGTACGGCAGCAGTGTGTAAGTACAGTATTTCATCACAGTGAGCGCAGCAAGACAAGACCATCCCACTTCCTGTCTGAGAGGGAAAATTCCCTCGACAGCTCTGGTGAGTGTATAAAAACCCTTCAGGTCGGCACAGAAAGGCAGAACAACACTGACACCAGGACAACTGCTTGATCTTAACCAGACACACTACAACAACTTCTATTCTACTGACTTTAACAGGTAAAGTGACTCTTTTTACTTCTCTGACTTTGATAGGATAAGTGGTTTATCTAACATAATCTGCTGCCTATTGTGTCATTAATAAACTAGAAACTACAAGATTTATTATGTTTCTGTCAGATGAAAATCTTTGAACTGCATCTATGAAATGCCGTCCTCTGCAGAGTGTATAAGTGCCTTATTGTCAAGTGTTGATATAGTAGTGAATCAATCACTGCAGCAGCACACACAGATGTACAGCAGCTTTTAGAACTGAGAGTAAAACAGTAAACTATTTTATTTAAGGGTATTGAATACAAAATTTAGAAACAATGAGGGAATAAATAGCAAAAATGTACCTGAAAATGCTGCTGCATTCCCCTAAATGTTTTGTGACACTGTACATTTATCTTCCTGCAGATTTTCCTTGCTTCAGAAAACAAAAGATGGAATCCGAGATGAAATGCAACGTGAGCGAGATGTGGAGCCCCAAGATGCCCGAAGGACTGGACTTTGAGATTTCCCATCACCCGCTGACAATGAGGCACGTGGTCAACCTCATCGTCGCCATGGAGAAGTTTAAGGGCAGCAGCTCAGAATCCCTGATGAGCAGTGAATTCAGAGACGAGGACCTGCTCAACATCATACTGGATGGCATCGTGGAAGGTAAGCACACGGAGGAGACTTTATTTCAACAATTTCACATTAACAAAAGAGACTTTCTGTGCTGGTTTCTCTGCTAGCACAGAGTTTAAACTCTGTTACCAACACTTACAAGTTCCTGAAAAAGATAAATAAATCTGTATATGTAAAAACAGAAATGCTGCCAGTCCTCTACCATCAACAGTTTACATGATCTTTTTGGCCTTCACTTACTTGTTTATCACAGATCCAACCACACTTTCCTTCATTTATTGCTTTGTTTGACTAACGTCTCCTTTACTTTTCATCCACTTAATCTACGCTGAGTCAGAAATCACCTCAATGAATTTATCTGCAATAAAGTTCTCACTAATCTGCAGTAAATTACCCAGAGAGGCGCTCAGATTTCTGACCCATTTGTGCAGGAAGAGACTAAATCTATTTTAGCTGTTTCTTTACAATTCCTGCTGGTTCCTAAAGAAATAAGACGTAAAATTACAACATCACTAATCAGATGTGCCTCTTTCTCCCTCAGAGGAAATTGTGTTTGAGCGTGGTTCAGCTCCACAACTTCAGATCAGCTGGACGGGCGAGGAGCAGTACAGCATGTACGACGGAGAGAAGAGGAGCTTAGTTCAGGTCCAGAACAGCATGGAGCTCCACGCAGTGATGCTTCAGGGAGGCGCTGACCCCAAAAAAGGTGATTACATGTGACAGTCAGATCTGATCATTCATAAACAAAGTTAATGTTAGATATTTAAACTCAGGGATGACAGATTTCTTATAGATCATCTCTGTTGGCTTGATATTCAAACTGAAGCTGTTAAAAGGTGATATTTTATTTTTATAATAACTTTATTACCTTTAAAAACAGAGTGCAGACAAAGTGCAGACAAAGCAAAGCAATACAACAACAGAAAGAGGCCCAACAAAAGCAAGACAAAATAAGTAACTGATAAAACAGAACAATAGATTAAACAATAAAACCAACCGACATGAGATAACATAAGAGTATAAAGTACAATGTTTCCCTTTTAAATGTAGTGGAATAGAAGTATAAAGTAGCAGCACCACTGGTGTAACTGATGATATTGGATGCTTTTAAAACAAATCTCAAATATATATATATATATATATATATATATATATATATATATATATATA